GTTACAAACTCCCCAAAGAGGAGAGCAGTAATCGAAATAAGGCTGTATCAGAGCATTATAAATTGATATCAATGTGTTTGCAGGAACATAGGGCTTGATACGCTTTAAAATTCCCATGCCCGCTCCGACTTTTTTGCAAACCATTTCAATACGTTCGTCCTAATTCAATGTTTCATCAAGTTTGACTCCCAAACATGGGATTGAGTGCACTCTGGGAATCAGTTGATCATTAATCATTACAGGGAACTCATTGTCAATTTTAGCAAGATTATGATTTGATGCGACATACATTAATTTGTTTTTTGTTGTTGAATGATGCTGAGATGCTGCAGTTTGTTTTTAACCAGCCATTGACTAACATTGTCTGAGCACAATCCTCAAATTTGTTGCAAAAATACCTCTTTTTGGCTTTGTACAATTCAGAGTTAACTTTATTGCGAGTGTCTTTATACTTCGCCCAGTGTCAATAATTAAATTTAACCGCTTTCTATTTATATTTGGAGTAATCCAAGGAAGTGAGTTGCCTCGGATTCTCATGCATCTAAATGGTACAAGTCGATCAAGTATTTGCAAGTAAAAGGATTTCCATAGTTGCCAACAAGAGTTTGGATTTTCATATTGTGCCACATTTTCCCATGGCATCTGTGATAGATCATTAATAAAGTCCGTAGCATTGAAATTTTTAAAGTTCTGGACATATCTAACATTTTGTCGAGATTTTGGAGTAAAAAATTTTCTAACGGCAAAAATCAAACTGTGATCAGATAAACCAAGATGAATAACTCCGGATTTTACAATATTTTCTTTCTTATTAGTAAAAATCAAATCGATCAAGGTTGCTGACGTTCTCGTTACCCTTAATTGTGGGTTCGTTAAATAACTGCTCAAGCTGGTAGACGCATGAAAGAAAGTGCAGTCTACGCGTGTGGTATCATTACTAACGTCACAATTCAGATCACCCATAAGTAATAATTCTTTGTTTTCCAAGTCACATCTACTAAGAAAATTTTTAAAATCGTCAAACAGGCGAGTATCTGAGCCAGGGGGTCTATACCATTAGTCTAGGACCTGTATAGGACTTTGTATGCGTTTCATTTACCACTGGTAATCTCAACTGTTTTAGGGTAAAATGACCATGGCGGTCAACATGGCATATGTACCAAAACCCGAATCCGGGACGAAAGTCCTGAAAATGACCCCGCCCTGAAACGGCAGTGCCGACATATTTCTAACTTCCGAAAAGCAAAAGCGACAGCCTTTCCGAAGTGCTTATAGTGTGTAGAAGGGTTGCTTTTAGGGGTGGTTACTGGAAGGAAAGGTAAATTGCTAATTATGCATAAAATAACTAATATACATGGCAGAAATTAAATATCCTTATTTCCTAAAAAAAATTATCATGGGATGAAAAACTATGCTTAATTTAATATAATTATTGTAGTTTTCATAAGGATAGGCATTGTTTTCTATAAATATAATATATTTTATTTCACTTACCGCCTTCCTTCAGCCATAGTTTGACGTCTTGTTTGGTTTATATCGCCGTGTCTCGCAAATAACATCCAGTTGTTGTACTTTTACATAATGGTTAAAGAAGATTTCAATCAAGTTTCGGCTAGTTTTGAAGCAGTGTAGTGTATTTTATCTTCGATATTGTGTCCTTTTATATTTCGTCTAATATGCCGCCATTTTAAGAGAGCTTGTCTGTAAAAATCGCAGTAATTCGCCATTCTCTGGCAGATATGAAAACTGAAAGTTCTTCAATTTCCCTCGATTTTATATATATATTGTAAACCTATCCAGCCCCACACATTTACTGCAGTTTCAGCCATGAAACACAAAATGAAGGAAAGTTAGAGTTTTTCAAAAATCGAACCAAAAATGACGCGAAATGTCCAAGAAATTTCGCTATATAAAGCAGTCAACATCATGTTCTGTGCTGAGCGCGCATTATAAGTTTTGGTCTGCTGTTACACTATATGTTTTTAGAATATATGGAATTTTCTCGTGATATCTTTTCTCCATAAATCGAAATGGTATTGACTTGGTTATTTTAGATCAAAGATGGTTGAAATTTCCGGGTTCTCCAAACTAGCCAAAGTACGTATTGTGAATCGCCTATTTAAATATGGTCCTACTTTCTTTATAAATGTACGTACGCATAATTTGTTAGGGCTAGGATGTAGTCATTCGACGACGATTTTAGATGTTTGGGATTCTTTTGTGTCTTGGCGAAATTTGATCTTAAACATGTACAATATTAGGGTAATTATTATTATTATTATTATACACAATATTTACATACAGGTATACTCACAGGGGCGCACATTAGGGGCGAAACCCCCCTTAGCGTCCGAATGTCACCAAAGGTCGGTCCCATTTTTCTTGATACTGTGCGAAAACTCGGTCCCAAAATTCGGGTACAAGAATTAATATTTACTTCTGTCAGTGAATTTGGACCGACAACACAAGAGCTGGTCAGCGGTTCATGCATGGTAGAAAGGAAACACAAATACATTTCCTGTATGTCATGTGTATTGGATTTCATAAAATTCGGCCTTAGTAGCTTTTAATGTATCGCGTTACATTACATGAAATGCGCTATTCCGCTTTAGCAAGTAGCAACTTCCTACGGAGACGGAAGACCAGGTTGGTGCCTGGCGTTACTATTTTTTAAAAGAAACTGCACTTTACACACATGACTATCACCGTCTCTGGCTTTATGTAATTTAAATGCATCCATACAAGCTTTTTAGTACAGCGCGATCGTACCTTTTGGGTCTGATCAATTTTTTTACACCACAGGATATAATTATTCTATCGTTACAATTCGAATTCAATGGCATACTACTTCAAGTTTCACAAATCTATACCTACACTTATATTTCTTAGGTTCACATTTATACAAATACAAGTCTTTTTAAGAATACTGTTATCAATAGAGGACCTGTAAACTGTTCTATAAAAACTAGGTTAATTACTATATATAATTAACTTACGTTATATATAATGGTTCTAATGTTCTATTAAACGTTTTAGGTAATAAAATGAGAATGAGTATATGATGTTATTTATCTATATTCATTCATAAAAAATATTCTGAACTTTCGATTTAAATCTAACTATCGAACACTCCTCTTTCTGATCTGCTGGTAGTGTATTCCTAAGTTTTCCACCTTGGAACATGAATGATCTTCTCCCACTCTCAGTTTTGACCTTTGGCAAAATAATGTTCTTTCTGTTATTTCGAGTGTTCATTTTATGTTCAATTCTTTTAAAATAGTTTTCATATGGTGAAGGTGCACTTCCATTCAAACGTCCAGGATGGCTAATCGATTACAACGAGATTCCAATGAGATCCATTTATTAATAGTTTTACTTCCAAAGACAACTTTAAATGCTCGATCATGGACTTTCTGGAATCGATTCATCGTGGTGTCAAAGCCAAGTAATAATGGGTGCATACAATATAGGAGAATTGGTCTGATCATAGACATATAAATGGATTCAGCGACATGAGTTGAAATAGTTGATCTGATATGTGCCAGTAATTTCACCCTCGAAACTCCTTTCTTGTACACTTTATCAAATTGCTGCTTGAAGGTTAATGAATTATCCATCAGTACTCCTAGATATTCGTAGACTGTTGCAGTTTCAACTCCAGTTGTCCCAGCCATTATACTCATCTCAGATGCTTTTGATAATTTCTTCACTTCGATCCGTACAAGACAGCTTCTGTTTTTCCTCTCTTTAAAAATTTAATGTTAAATTATTAAATTCCAACCAGTGTATAACACAATTTAGTTCATCATTAACAACATCTTCAATCACATTGGTATCACTATCTGAATAAAAAATTACCATATCATCAGCATATAGTAGCATTTTACATTTAGTAATTTCCATTCCAATATCGTTGATGTGCAATAGGAAGAGCAGCGGGCCGAGTATTGAGGCTTGTGGAACTCCGCTCGTCACATAAAACATAGCAGAATCTGCTCATATTCCACATACTGCTTTCGATTAAATAAATAATCCTTAAACCACTCGAGTTCTCTATGTCGGATTCCATATGCTGGTAATTTGGAGAGGAGTATAGAATGATCTACTAGGTCGAATGCTTTTTTCAGGTCTACATATACGACGCCTGTATAGTTACTACCTTTAGCCATTTGCATGCGAATATAGTCAGATAAAAATGTCACTGCCTGAGAAGTACACCGTCCTTTTCGAAAGCCATATTGATCTGGGTATAATAGGTTTTTATTCTCCAGAAATGAATATAATTGCTGATGGACCAATCTTTCTATAATCTTCGAAAAGACAGGTAGGATAGATATTGGTCTATAGTTATCAAAAATATCTCTCCTGCCCGATTTGAAAATGGACACTATCTTGCCATATATTTCTGCCGAAGGGAACATAGATTTCTGGAGTGACATGTTGACTAAATAACATAGAGGTGTTGCTATTTCCTCTGCAGCATCTCGAATTAGGTTTGGCGGTATTTTGTCATATCCAGTAGCTTTGCCCTTCTTTATTTGCCTTAACTCATTAAAAACTTCAATCGGTTCCACTTGAGTGCTTGGACTTTTATTAACCGGCGCGTTACGATTCCAATATCTTACGCTTTTTCTATTCAAAAAGTTAACATGCTTCACTGTAGATGACACTGAGAACACACAGTTTACTTTTAATGATTTTCCCTGCATTCAAGTTACTTTGTCTACAGTATATGTGTATATACATACTGCGCGCACGCACGCACGCACAACCAAGCACATTTTAACTTTTTTCGAACGAAAAAAAATTAGCCGCAGCCCCAAGGTGACACGGCTCGTTTAAATTGCGGTGCCTGTTCAAGTTTGGAACCGGTTTAAGGGTAGTAATTATTTTTATCGCTGCTGACGCTGCATATATTTAATTGTTTACATTTCCTATCGATATATTCATGTACGACTTGCATTTTATTACACCTACTTTCAAATAACTTTTTAACTTTTCTTACGTATCGATACCGAAAAGTTCGACATATAACAAATTTTCAATTTTCCGACGGATCTCAACAATAGCGGGGCGGGGGCTTTCCCAGCGCCCCTAAGATTGAAATTCCGCTTCAAGACAAAACTGTTGTCAATGTGCAACTATTCTGTTCTGTACTTTAGTGTCGACGGTTTTGACTTTGTTTTGTCCTTAGAAGACACGAGGGCACCGCATTATAGAACTGTGTCTGGTTATACATGTAATACTTTACGCGCATTATAGTATATACTTTGTAAACAACAGGAGGATCTTTTATGTCTGTACTAAATGGTTCAGTTCAGTTTCAAGTGATTTCTGCAATACCTGTAATGAGCTGTCCCTACTGTCGACAAAATATGAACTTAGTTCAAATCTGATGGTAGAGCAGAAAGAGTTCTTCCCATTAACAGGGCCGCCGAGAGGTTGGCGGGGGCCTGGGGCAAATTTTTTTAAGGGGCCCCTTTAACGCACAAAAATGACTGGGGCCCAACTAAAAATTTTCAGGGGCCCCCAGCACCTCGGGGCCCGGGGCAATTTGCCCCCCTCCCTGCCCCCCTTCTCGGCGGCGCAAATTTTTTTTCCGCAGACAGTCGGACTCCTCATTGATAGTCGGACGCATCATTGATCCGCGTCCAGGCCTCTGCGCGTTATCGATGGATCTCTTTATACCCTGCGTAACCCACTGGTACACCATATATCCATTACTCCATGCACGTTGCTCTTCTTCGACCACGTGTAGAAAGATGAACGATTTGCTTCGCGATGCCATGGTGAATCTATGCGAGTTAATTAAGACTATAATGAACTGCTATTTCGAGTTAAAACTATATATCATCCCAATTGAAGAGAATTAGGATAAGATAACTGCATGAAAGCGGAAACGTACTGGAAGATTTAAAGCGACCATCAAGACCACTTTCCACAAATAGAAGTATTACCGAATATCCGTCCACTAGTAATATATCATGTAGCCATGGCCAGGCCTCATTTCACTGGATACGTATATACCAGATCTTATTGCCTCGTTCTAATATACACAAACTAATTACTAAGACAATTAATATTACGAATTGATTCTATAAAGGAAATATAATGCAAGACCATTTAAATGTTTAATATTATGTTTAGTATGCTTTATAATATAAACATTTTTCTCCCAGCGACGCTAATTAATCATAATCTGTCAAATACCAATGTCCGGTTGTGAGGAACATATTTACATATTACACCACATTTAAGAGGCATTGTCTGCAAGAACGGTCCAACGAATTCTGACTCAATTTTCGTTTGGCTTCATAATACATCTATAACTTCCTTGATGTATCCTGATTCTTGTACAAATAGTCATTTCTTGAAAATTGTCTTATTTTTTTGTTTATCCTCAAATATATTAGACACGTTCAGGAATCCAAAATGGCGCTAATGATTAGGACGGATATTTGCAATTTTTCTAACTTTGCACCGAAGTCGTGCAAGTGTCTACAGAACTTGTAGCCGTGTTTTTATATTGAATAATGTATGTTCTTTTCACGAAAATAATAATAAGCCAAATATCTATTTGGAACGGGCGATTTTAGAGGCAATAATATTCGCCCCCATTGGAGTCCGTCATTCATGATCGAAAACCTAATGGATTCCACAAGGCGTAGAAAAAAAGTGGATTGCTTCTGAAATTTAAATCCTGTTAAAATATGTAGATAAATAACTAAGTTATTCATATCAAATGAGAAACGTTTTGGTCAAACTCATTTCCCGCGACAAAGGAAGGAGTCTTTATGAGGCAAATCCTCTCCTATGCATGGCGGGCTGGCATTTATGAAATCGTGTACTTCTTGTAATTCTCGTCTTAGGTTTATTGGAAAACAATACTAGTCCATTTAGTTAAAATTTCACTCTGTATGACATAATATTGTAAACTGAAGATGGGTATTTTTCCATGCAAACGCGATTAGGCGACAATACATCTCCGCTCGGTGGTCACCTGTCATCAGTTAAAGGCTATAAATAAATACGCGCAACAAATCAACAATTGTTTGTGTTTAAAGAAGGCGTTTTATTTATTAAATAAAAAGTATTTTAGACCAATTCCGTCACAATTATCGGAAAATAGTTTGTATTTGAAATATATTTGTAGTTTTGGCTTTTGTTTATAATATGCATTTCGCTGATAATTAAAAGAGTTGTCGATTTCAATGTTAGTTTCAATATCCGGTTTCTATATTAAACTGATTCAATGTAAATAACACGCCGCTTTCGTTTTTTGGCATGCATGCTTTTTCTTTATTTTCTTTAATCATGTCTGGCAAATGTTTTTTTAAGTAAGAAGGATCCAAAACAATTAATGTAGAGACTGTCGAGGACTGATTTCGGTTTTCTTCATTCAATGCCAATGGCAATGATAATGTACGGAGACACCTCGAAGTCTTATTAAGAGACTTAATAGTTATAGTTAAAAGCATACACAGTTTATTAGTTTATTGAAGTAATATATATATTGGTCAGATGTGTTCTGAAAAACTACACGCTTTATTATTTGCTAGTGAGAAGTTTGAATAATATGTGCAGAATATAGTGCTGCAGTTATCGTGCCTTTATATATAATCTGAGCTTGTGTCGGGCCCCAGGCCCAGCACATACATCCTTGCTTCACCTGCCTGGAAAGCAGAAAATAAGAGTAAAGTAGTTATACATGCATAGCTATATACAACTTGAACGAAAAAAAACTTTTCGGATCCGTGATGGTGCTAGCAAAATGAGCTGATGGACTCATGATAGAGGAATACATATAATAACTATAATCAACTGCAT